ATGCGATGGAGCACCATCCTGCTGCAAAATTTGACCCCTTTTATGGTTGGGAATGTAAGAGGTAGCTAATACTTCTTGATATTTTAGGCTATTGATATTGCCTTCCACCCTGCAAATCTCTCGCACACCCCCATACTGGATGTAACCCCAGACCATGATTTTTCCGCCACCAAACTTAACTGTTTTCTGGGTGAATCTATCCGTGCGGGCTCCAGTAGGTCTCCTGCAATATTTGCGGCGGCTGTGATGTAATTCAACCGAAGATTCATCTGAGAAATCCACCTTCTGCCACTTTTCCAGCGTCCATCCTTTTAGCAGGCTGTGGGCCTTGGCAAATGCCACACGTTTTTTTAATTGCCTTTTGTTTAGTGCTGGTTTCTGGGCACTGATTCGACCATGGAGGCCATTTCGAGACAGAATTCTACAAACTGTTCTGGTTGACACGGGGACTTGAGGTGACCAGGCCTGGTGGAGCTCTGCTGCAGTGGAAAAGGGGCTGGCCTTAGATTTTCGAGCCAACAAACGGTCCTTCCGAGCAACAAACGGTCCTCCCGAGCAGTTGTCTTGCGGGGTCTGCCGGAACCTGGGCTTGTCAAAAACATCTCCAGTCTCTTCCAAATCTTTTTTCTTATTCTTTGTACTTGACGCTGAGACACATTGAAGGTGTCAGCCACTCAGCAGTGGATCTGGTCTTCAGCCTCTTGACAACGCTTTGGTCTCAGGGTGAATCTTAGGCATGTTGTCAGAGGTCAAGTTGCAGTTGATGTGAAGGTCTGGTGTGCTGGGGTTCTTTTTATACACACCCACTAATTGATTGATCAATTATTGATCACAGGTGAGGCTGTAATCTAGGATTGGGTGCATCATATGACAAGGCGACAAGACTTTTGTCTTTGCAAAAACTGACTCAGTGGGCTTTACCAAGCTGTGAACGTTAGAATGCTTTTCAGCAGTTTCGTTTGGCACCAAAACATTATTTCAAAAGCTGTTGGGGTTGAAATTAGCCATTTCTTGTAAAAAAAAAATGATTAGACATATATTTGAGGGGCACTTAAGGTCAACTTGTACCCAAGCGACAAGACTTTTGTCAGGGACTGTACATTAATAGTTACGTTTGTTGTAGTTGTAGTGCTGATCTGCTGTAATTGGTGTTGTTTCTTTTTTTGCTCACATCTGCATATTTCCTGTTTCAGACCCTGATGTCCTGGATACATGGTTCTCCTCTGGGCTGTTTCCCTTTGCCATGCTGGGCTGGCCTGAACAGGTACTGCACTTCCTCCATCACAGCATAGTCCTCAGCATACAGCCCTATCCCACTGTATTATAACCATACCCTCACCTCCCACAGACCACCGACCTTCAACGCTTCTACCCCAACTCCATTCTGGAGACAGGCAGTGACCTAATCTTCTTCTGGGTTGCAAGGATGGTGATGCTGGGCACAGAGCTGACCGGACAGCTGCCCTTTAAAAAGGTACTTAGATAATGAGAAACCCCAAATGTATACATACAGTATGGATGAAACACGGTGTCAGCCCATTTTGTTGTTTTTCTCTCTCCCTTTTGTGTTCCCATCATGACTCAGGTTATATTTCACTCTCTGGTGAGAGACAAACATGGCAGGAAAATGAGTAAATCTCTGGGAAATGTCATCAACCCATTAGATGTTATACATGGGGTCTCTTTGGAGGTAGGTAGAATGTGGACTTGGTCCAGGAGGCATATTACTGGTAATGACATGATATCTACCATACTGAATGATGGGGAAGGACTCTGATGCTTTTTAAAGTGGTTGTTAGAAATATTATAATCTGAGCATCATCATTCATCAATATACAGTACACCTTTAAGCAATCAAAGTCAGTAAACCTCCCATTTTTAAAAGAGAAAGTCATTTCACAATTAGGTATAAAATCTTGCTTATAAAAGTTGCTTATAAAATGTTAATTATTAAGGGAATTAGTTTCTTCCACAAAGGTATGCATAAAACCAACACTGGATTGTCACATAGAATACATTTGTGATTTCCACACTCAGAAGTAGGAGTTATGAAAAGAATAATGATGTCAGAGAACATAATGCTTTTTTCTGTTGTGTAGTTACAGATCATAGTAGTAAGTAGGAAACATCCCACTGAGACAGTCGTCTGTTTTAATTCTCTCAAAAGACTTTTTGTTGTGAAACTCTCTGTCCCTTTTTTTCTTTTTCCTCCTAGAGACTTCAAGAGAAGGTAAAGGAGGGGAACCTTGACCCCAGGGAGCAACTGGTTGCCATGGAAGCACAGGTCAGCTCCCTTCTCTCCTATCGGTTTCTTTTTGACTAACTGAGCACGCTCATTACTTCCTCTCTTATCTATGTGCTCCATCTGCTTCCCCACAGAGGAAAGACTTCCCCAAGGGAATCCCTCAGTGTGGGACTGACGCTCTGAGATTTGCCCTTTGCTCTCACAAGATGCAGGGTGAGTGACTCTCATCTCTTTTATCAGACTCTATAAATGTGTGGAGCTGTGTGAATGTAAAACACAGTGTTGCAGGAAAAGAAGAGGGGGTGCACTTAAACAAGATTAAGAGAGAGATGAGTTGTGAGGGACTGCAGTGATTGCTTTTCACAGAACATTTGTCACTCATTGGTTGCCTGTTCCAGTTTGTCAGGTGATCTGCTCTGCCTTTCCTTAAAACGTAAACTATTTTTTGCATTCTGTAACAAAGAAATGTAGCTGCACTGCGAGAATGCTACATGTTCTCATTCTTCCATGAGGTACTTAAAAGTGTCCTAAGTGACATGTCTCTCTGGTTATTCCACTTTCCCATGCTTGTGCCTGGAAGGATTTATTGGCATGGAATACTTTAGATAAATTCAGCAAAATGTAATTATAGACTAGGGCTATGGCGTTATATTTGTGCCTCATTCCTGAGCAAGCAATGTGATATTTGGAGCACAGAAAATGTATTTTGCAAACACACACAAGGAAAAAAATTTCATCTGTGCAAATAAAAATCTATTCTGTACTCACTAAATCTGAGAATTGCTGACTATTATTGGATAAATTACTAGTACCGCATGAAAAATTATAACTGACTAGAGTGGATTTGTTTGACCACAAACTCATTAAAACACATTTTCATTGTCAGTATTTTGTATTATTGCCAGAAATGTTTTCACAATTTGGGGCACCCTGGCACAGTCATACGCAAAAGTTTGGCCACCCCTTGACAAATAACACATTTGAGTGGACTGCTCATATGCTGGTCAGAAAGGCAAATCACAATGTGAATGCAAAAAAACAGCAGTGTTTTCACAAACAAGACATTTATGGAAGAGTCAGTACAAGAAAACCTTACCTGCGTCCACATCATAAAATCTAATGTCAGAAGTATGCAACAGAATATGTACAGAAACCTAATGTGTTTTGGAAAGAAGTTCCGAGGACTGATGAAGTTGAAATAAATGAAACCATATACTGTTATGAACCCTCACAGACGTTGCTCAGTGTGTGCCTAACTCTTTTTTTTCTGCCTGTTTTTCAGGAGAAGACATCAGTCTGTCTATCTCTCAGGTCCTTAGCTGCAGAAACTTCTGTAATAAAATGTGGCAGACACTGAGATTCACACTTGGAGTGCTGGGTAACCACACAACACCAGTGGGAGCACTGCAAGAGGTACACCAAAGAAACTACCTGTTGGACTGCATTTTTATTCCTTTTTTCATGTATACACTGTGTGCACAATTATTAGGCAAGTTGTATTTTTGAGGATTAATTTTATTATTGAACAACTACAGTGCTCTCGGTCAATCCAAAATGTTAATGAACCTAAACCTGAATGTTTAAGAAAGTAAAAGTGAGGTTTTGTCTTTCTTAAGAGAATATATATA